ATGCAGAGATTAGTTGTGCCGTAAATAAAATTTATTTTATTTGCACTATCACTCATTTCGTTGTACTATTAATAAAATTTAATTTTTATTTACAGAAGAACTAATCTTTACATCGCAATGAAATTTTAATAAATTATCTTGATTTTTATCATTATTTCTCAATTATATTTCCATTAGAGCACAATTCTATTTAATTATTTAAATGATTGATGATAAATTTTTGATTTGATTTGAGGTTCTAAATCGTCGCTAAACTTTTTTGTATCATTTTTAAATAATATATTTAGATTAAATTTTGTTATAATCTTTTCATTATAAATATAAAAATTATAAAAATAGATGTAATATATTTTTGAAATTAATCGAATAACACAGTGCTTGCATTTTTAAAGAACAATTAATTTTTTTAATTAAGAGTTATTCATGTTTCTGCATTCTTGTTAAAGAGAAACCATATTGGTTTTCGACACGCGTCATCGTCACGCGCACCAAATGTGCGCCCATTATCAAACGCAACCTGTTTGATATTCAATTTCCGTTTGGAATTTTATCTCCACGAAAATCGGAGAGCAGCTGTGTATCAGGTCGAATTAAAGTGTCATGATCCACGAGCGCGCGACGCGATCGCGGCATAGGAAAAGGTGGGTGACGTCACGTGTTCTCGGCGTCGCACGCGCGGGAGGGGTGCGTAGCCTGGAGGGGGTAACTCGGCTGCGGGCAGGCCATGCCGAAGACTCGTTCCGACGCGGGTGGTGGGGTGTAAGAGGGGTCCAGGCATGGAGAGGGCGCAGTACCGCGCTATCCTCCGTATCGTTGACACGTCGAGCGGAAAGAGTGCGGCGAGGAAGAAAGGAGAGAGGATCAAGGAGAGAGAGAGAGAGAGGAGGACGATCGCGCGATCTCGCGCTCGCTCATCGATCGGCGATTCACGTGATCGTGCGCGAACATAACCATTCTTTTATCCGTCCGTGAGGAACTTCCGGCCCGCGACGTGGTGGAAACCGCGCGTCGACTTCCACCTGCGTGCGCTCTCGATGATCTATCGGTGATCGGTCGATCCGCGTAGATCGTCCGGGATCGTCCGCGTGGCTCGTGGTGAACGATAATATAATTCGCGAGTGATTTGAAGTGAAATTTATATCTCGTGTGCCTGTCCCCGAGGGAGCCGCGCTGTCAGGGACGATGCTGGCATTCCTGCTCGCCGCGGCGTTCGCCGTCGCGAGGATCCACGCCAGTCAGGTGACCATGGACGCCAAGATACGTGACGACTCCGATCTGTCTCAGGTGAGGGGAAAAAAAATGAAAAAGAAACACGTCTCACGCGTTTCTCTCGTGGCGCCGGTCGGCGCGCGTTCCCCAGATGCGAATTCGACGACGCGACGTCATACGCGCGCCGCGACTGCTGCACGCGTGTCCTTGAACCATTCACGCAGGAATGACCGCGCGCGCGAGAGCTGCGTTTAAATGAACGAACGTATGGACGCTCGTAACGTACGGACGGGTAATACCGGCGAGTGTGCGGCCCCGACGGGAAATTTCAATGCAGCGCGAACGCTCGTCGCTGTCGCGCGATGATTGTACAATGTGCTTCGTTCGGCATTATAAAACGCAATCGATCGCACGTAGTTAAGAGCCCTCCTCTGTGATAGGAGCGCGAGTGGCCTTTTCTTAGTTTTTCTTCTTTTCGCACCGCGAATTATCTGCGCCAGAAAAACGTTCGGCGAACACCGGAAGTGTGACCAGAGTGAAAAGTATTCATTATCGATACTGATAATAACGCGACATTTTAGTGCAATGGTCGATTTTGAACGGGATTGAAAGCGTTCATAAATATTACTGTCAAAATTATCAGGGATGTCGAAATGTCAGACGGTGATATATTTTTTCGACGTTTTTTTTCTGTCAGATTTTAATTTTGACAATGCATAGAATAACGAACACACTGGCGATAAGTTTTCAAAAGTTTTAAAGGGAGAGGTGCATACTGTTGACATAATGTTGTCTATCATATAAATTTCACTGTTAATATCGACAAAATGTCAGATGAAAATGTCAGATGAAAATTTTCGTTTCCTAAGTCTACTTATTTCGCTGCTTTTTTTATCTCGTTGAAGTTTAATTCTTCTGTATTTTCGAAATTTTGCTCCGACTCCATTAGAACTGTTGCTCGCACAATTTTTTAAAGAGTCAGAAAATCGATTATGCTTCGGAGTGACACTTCTGTCATACGTCACGTCGCTCGATTTTTTTTCGCATCAGATTCACGGTTCGACATGATCGGTGGACCCGCCCATTCAGCGATACTTGTTCATTTCAACGTCATTTAATCCTTCCATATCCAATATGAGATCAGCAGATGACTGCAAATCCAATTTTTCGTATCGAAGTTGTTAAATCCGTTTGTTAACTCGTCCATTTTCCGTTTGTCCCTTGTTTATCTTTGATTTTGAAATAAATTAATCGTCGATCGTAACGATAAATCGAAAAAGTTGGAAAACTGATTCGAGAAACGCGAAAAGTCACGTCGGAAAGATTCAGAGTGCTGGGGAGAGAGAAAGGTGAGGAAACGTAGGAAAAATTATTAAGGATTCAAGTTTGATCCCGTTTTGGACAGTTCGATAAACATTCTGGCGAACGATTGAAAGTTCGAAAATATCAAATGGAGCCGCGCGTTTCCTTCTTCGCGCGGTTCGAAATTTCGTAGCAAATTGCGTGGGTGGCAGGGCAAGTTGCATCTCGTCCAGGTGGTAAACCGATCGCCGGGCTGAACGATGCATGCAGTCGTGGGAACTTTTCCGGTTGGGAACAAGAGGGAAGGTACCGGGGGAGGGGCGGGGGAGGAGCAACGTAAAAGTTCGTAAATCGGGTGTGCGAGATGTTTCTAACTCGGTTGAATAATGCATGAAACCGGCGGTTATTTACTTCATTAACTTCTTCCACGTGGCCGTAATTAAATTGCGCGAACGAAAAGTTGCGAAGCGGCGCCGAACTCTCATTAGCCCGCATTTTTTTCCCGCCCTTATCCGAATCGGAATTCATGGCGATCGCGAAGTTGCATTGCCATTCGTTGAATTTCCCTTAGGTTGCATCCCCCTTCGGTTGCATCAATATTTTGGATATTTGAGCGAGACTTAAATTTGTTGTACTTGTAAAAGCAAAAACAACTTAAAATACTTTAATTTGCCCTTGTTTTATGTAGATTAGTAATAGTTTCCTGAGTGAAGGAAAATATTAAAAGATGTTATATATAAGCAAGAATATGATGTGTCAACGCGACATCGTTCTGTAAAACGAATGTTTAAAGCTACAAAGTTGCGCAATATCGCGATATCGTTAGCACTGCGACTTTTCTTGAATTGCAATGTAATATGTAATTGGACTTTCAATCAGGAAATTGTAATAGGAATATTATGTCAATGTTATTATTTCCTATTCAATAATGTAACTGTTACGTGGAACATGTGTTATAATTATAAATTCACACATAGAAAAAATTAATTTTAAATCAATTATTCTCATACATAAAAATGTAATCTTCTTAGAAAGATTTTTAATCTTAATTTGATTGAAACTTATATTGATGCGAGTATAGACATTCTCATAAGCAAGAATATTTGTTTTGATTAAAGATTCTTTTCTGTGTACAAATTAAAGCCCTTTTCCTTTCGCTTTGCAACAAATTTAAAGTTTCAAGTCCCACCTAAAGCCAAAATATCGTTAGTGCAATCTTAATCGTTAAACTTTCGCACGAAAACGTAAGAACGAAAATGTCACCGGTCTTTCGATCGGTGCTTCGGATTTTGATTAACGCGACGGCTTTATAAACGCGCTATAAAAATTTGATGGCGCGATATATTAAATAACGTTCGGATACTTAATAAATTCCGGATAATAGACCGAGTAAAGGGGAATTACCGGAGCAAATGTCAGCGCTGCTGCACTGCGCGCTATTTTTTTTTACAGTGTCATTAATTGACGCGATAATCCAATACCGTCGCGTAAATTTCGCCGTAAACGTCGTGACAGTGCTATTACAATTTAATGATCCACGCAAAATAAGAAGGGATGCGTTATCCTTATTATCTCTCTATCGCTCTATCGCGAAGTCAATTGCAAACGCGAGCTGCAGCCATAGTCTCCGATCGATTCCTGTGACTCATTATGATATCAATCATTGGAACCACTTCGACAAACTATCGTTCTTTATACGAGCGCCCCGTTTCCACGATGTGGAATGAGTCACAAGGTTACTTCGCTGAAATTAATTCAATTTTCAAAAGCAAATTTGTACGCGTTACCGTCACAGGTTCAGCTCGTTTAGTGCGTTTTCTTTTTTTTTTCCAAATTAGATAAATATGGAAGATACGTTGTCTCAGAGCGAAGTTAACTCGCACGTGGTATATCTTTCATCCACATGGCCGGCTCTTTCTCATTTACTTTGCCCCCGCCTAGGCGAGAGAATCGTGCAGTCCGGCGTCTACGCCACGAAGCACTCTCACGCGCACACGCGTGGGAGGCACGCACGAACACGCGTACACGCACATCGTATGCGCGTCGCGGCAGTATGGCTCCTCTTTGCGGTCAATGACGTGATTTCAGTTAGACAGCGCTCCGTAGTGCTCCTTTGTCTACCAGCTACGGTTCTTAGTCTTTTTCCGCCCAGTCGCAGAGACGAACTTCAAACATCATCCTCGCGACTACGATTCGGCTCATTCAGCACATTCTGGTCTATTAAACCAATTGACCGCGCAGAGATAGACATTTTTAGTTACCTCCGAAGAAAAAAGTCGCCATTCATAGATTGTAATATAGTACATATTTACGATATGTTGGTAGATATTGAATATAATTGTCAGCTTGGGAATTTGGCGTATAGAAATTACATTCGGATACAGAGTGTCTATTATCTGGAAAATCTGGAATTCTCATGGAATTTGTTTGAAAATCAGAAAATTGTCAAAGAATTTTATTGAAAATCAAGGAATTTTTTTGAAGTTGCTTTTGTCTTTACAATCGAAAGTTTATCGACTGAATTAATAATAACAATAGACTCGTCCATTTTAAATATCTGAGCACATTGATCTTAAAATTAATTCATTATTCTGTATTGAAGACAACGATTTCGTGTTAGATGTAATTTTGTTTGAAGACGTATATTTATTTTAATAGTTTTGTAAAAATTGAATTTTGTATCAGTTACATAATTTTCTGTTAAAATTTGAAAATTTTATACGATATAAAATATTTATTTCTTAGAATCCTTAGTTTCTTCCAAAACTTTTCAAATTTAATTTTTGAAACTTGAATGATTTTTAATTTTGTTTTATAAATCAAAAATATTATATATTTATTTATAAGATATTATTTTTTAAAGATACTTTCTTTTTACTTAGAATTTTTAACGAATTATCTTAAAAATCAAGGAATTTTCAGGAAATTTTTTTTCGAGTTTGAGTAGGCAGAAATCTGTTAGATTTCTAGACCGCGCTGGCGCTTTATTTTTGAAAATGTTTATTCTTATCCTCTCAAACGTTCTCGATACATTTGGTTTCTTGATTCGCGATTTCTTCTCGATTTTCGCTGGATCCAGAACGGCGGATTAGCCTGATGGGGGCGGGTCGGTCGGATCAGCATTTTTCATTGCGTCAACCGCTCGACGTGCTGAATCACGCTCGGTGTGCGTAGGAGGAAACTCCACTCTATTAAAAGATCGTGTCGACCCACGGGTGTGGGTCATAATCTATAGGTTAAGAGCCCTCGGGTGTAATACCTACGAGTAGCGTGCGATCCGTATTTATATCTACCGCGCGGGCAACACCTGCTGCCGCCGTCGTCCTCGCGTCGTGCACCGCGCCGATATGAATGGAGCTCAACGGGACTTAGCGTGGATATTGCACGAAAAAAAGAGTGAAAGGGGCGAGCAAGGCTGCGGCTTGCCACGCGGAAGAAACCGAGAGCGTGAGAGCCGGCGGCGCCGGGAAACCACGTCGCGCTTGTTCGCCTTTGGCACTGAATAACTTTGGCCTCGTTCGGCGCAAGACTCGCCCGAGATTATTATCGGAACCGATGTGCGAACATTGTTGTCGCTGGTCCCGATCGGCTTGCATTCCGCTCGATCAATTGTGCACTCGTCGCGCTGCCGGCGGTGTCTGCGTTACCCGCATATTCTGCATCTATTCAAAGGAAGAGATCTATTCTCATTGAGAGTATATCAAGTACCACTATTCAGGCCATCAATATGCATTATGTAATATTTCTGTAGGGAGATTTTAACAATATTATGA